CATCATCTGGACGCCGTCATCATGCCAGACTTCAATGTCGTGGGACCGACTCGCGTGTGTTTCTTCGCCCCGCTGAACTTTGTTTCTCGGGTGCGTTTTTTTCTGAACGTTTTTTTTTTTTTTTTCATTGTTTTCTTACTAATTGTTTGTTAGCACTGTTCAGTTGTTGGGTTTATTTCGTCATGGCCTAGCGGCCTGGCGGTGGTGTAGAGAGCGTGTTCGCACGCATTTGGTTGCGTCCCGTTTAGGGAATGCCCGGTTTTTGTTCTTGCCATGTGCGGCTGAGTTTTCCCGTCTTTATTAAATTATTGATTTTTTTGTTTGTTTTGCCTTTACGTGCCGTCGACTTCTTTGTCTGACTCTCCACCAGGCGTGGACCTATCGCCTTGCCACCGCTCGAACCTAAATACTTTTTTTTTTTTTTTAACGCAATTTTCGTTAAGATCGGAGTTGGGCTATTTAATTCCTATTTATTGATTTTTATTTCATACCGCTCTCCATGACACACTCTCTGTGTGTTTCGGACCATTTCTGTGTCACCGCTTTTGTGTACTATTACGGAAGTGAAAGGACATTCCCTGGTGACCTGTGCGATGTGCGGTGAACAAGCCCCAGTGTTTGGTTTCGTAAAGAATTGTATATAATATATCGACGATGTGGTGACTTTCTTTGTCTTAGTAATATGACAGCTAATAGCAAGTCGTGCTAGTTTACTTTGAGGGGTTTATAAATCGAAACAATAGAACGTCTGTGCTTTTTGATTATTGAAAGTCTACTAGGCCTGCTGATTTGGTTAAATATGTATCTCATGGTTCCCGCTCTTATCAAAACATACATAAATATTCAATACCACAAAATCCGTTTATAATTGATTACAAAATGCCGAAGGAAATTCAAGAAAACTTTTTCACAATTCATAGAGACGCATGGGTCGCTATGTCTGACTTAGGTCTCGCAAAACAAAGACGTCTTTTTCCGATATTGAGGCCTAAATATAAAACATGCAAACAAAATATACACCTTCTAGGCTTGATTTTCGTGTAGACAACTATCATATCTACATTTGAACAAAAAATAGAAAACATAAAAAAAAATGGGTTTTTTGAGAAAATCAATTTCAAAAATGGTACTTTTTGGTTTTTGCATAATATTAACGTAAACGTACCGCAAAGGATATTTTATACAGCCAAGGCATTTTATAATAAATACAAAGAGCGTGTTCTGGGCTCTCCGTGGACATAAAACAAATCGGTGTAACCCAAGTAGATCGCCAGTAATTAATTGTCAAAGTTCGTCAACAATTGACCGAGGAGGCGTTTTTGACATTTTTACAGAAAAAAAGCAAAAGGCCTAAAATTATTTCATGGTATTGGAGCCTTTTAAATGAATGTGTCCACAGAGTGCTTCAAAAAAGATAATATGATGTGGACTGAAAATCCATGGCGGGAGATCAAGCGAAACATCCGACCCACGACAGGTGTGAAAAACACTGCTTTTCGCCGCGGCCTCTTTAAAAATTCACAAGTCGAGAACAAAAAATCCGACGAACTTGCGGTTTGTGTCGACTGCGGTTTTAGAAACGGCGCCATAACATATATTTTTTTCATCGAAATTAAAAATTCGACCCTTTTTGCCTGCACGATTTGAGATGAAACCACCCATATATATATACTTACGCGCCGCTGTGGTTTGAGATGAATTGAGCGCGTGGCCTTTGAATGGCTTCGGGTGGTGCCAGTTGAGTACACATGAAAACACAAATGGACAACCAGCGGTCGTCTATTTGTGCGTTTATATGTGTTCAGATGGCACCACCCAAAGGTATGAACCAACTAGCTCCGCTCTAGCTAGTAGGAGACTTAGAATGCCCTTACCTTGCGCGAGTGCTCGTGTAAACAAAACATCCAACTGCGCGCCTGTGCTCTCGATAGCCATTTAGACGTCTCGCGAGATGGAGAATATTTGAACTAAAGTCGAGGAAGTCTCGTTGAGCAGATAAATATCTTAAAAGTAAGCCTATACTCGTTTAAAGAATGTAACAAAACAAGAATAACAACAACAACAACAACGTATTCCATGTGTCTTGCTATTAGTTTATGTGAACGTGAAAGTATCAAGGACAGAGTAAGTGAGTTTCGAGACAACACTGCTGCGCAAATAAGAGTCAACCTTTTCTTGCCGGAAATGTTTTTGTTGATCCTTTCTGTTTAGCCTTCAGTCACCAAAAAACAACTCCCCCCTCCTCCCCCCCCCCCCCCCCCCCACACACACACAGACACACACGCATTAGACGCCAATTTATGCTTTTCGTATTTAGTTTTCTGTAATAAGCACACATACGCACAATCTGGAGAGGAACGTACCGCGGGTGCCTAAGAAAAAAAAAAAAAAAAAAAAAGAAACCGCGCTTTTCGCATTGCAGAAATCAATTACGATTTCCGAAAGCCCAAATTCCGGCAAAATGTAGCACGTTTAGAACCAGGTTACAAGCTCTCAGAATTTAGCGTTCTCTGATTGAAAAGCGAAAGGAATTTTCGAAACGAATTTTCACTGAGAAATGGGGGCCAATAATTCCTTGCGGCAGACGCAATTCATGTTGATCGATTATCCGTTGGCCGCCCTTTTCTCAGTTAAAATTTTCGAAATTCGCCTCTTTTTTTTTTTGAGTTGAGGTAATGGTATTTCCTCAAACTTAAAAAATCTTATCCAAACCGCTAGCGATGTCGGGTGAAGACTAAGCGTTCGGGGACGCTTCGTTTACTTTTTGCGACACGAAAAACACAAATCTCTCTCTCTCTCTCTCTCTCTCTCTCTTTTTTTATTTTCTTTTTTAACGATACTTTTCGGGTAACACTTTGCAGAGATTTCGAGCTCGTGCGCTGTCGTCGCCCTTCCCTCCCTTCTTGGCGCGAGGAGAGGGAAGTCGGGATTTCCCGTCGGCCGTTGCGCGCGAAGAGAGCGAAGAAGGCAGCCCTGGCATCCCGCCAAGAATGGCGCGAAGAAGGGAGAACCTTCGTGTCGTCTGCTTCAAAAAGTTGTTTCCGAACATTCCTCGCGTTATGCGAAATCCCACTTTGGCAGTATCCAGTTGTTACGCCTAATGTCGGATGGTTTTAGAAACTTCCACCGCGCTTATCCACTCACTTCGAGGATCACTGAGCACCCGTGACGGTCGTCAGTGGCGTCCACGGCGCCAACCACGACGGCAATGAGAAGTAACCACGTCGCATCCCCGTCTTCAGGCATGCGACGGCACCGTTCCACCCGCATTGCGCGACCGTCTCCAGCTTTTGCTTTCGTTTCTTCGCACATTGTAAGCAAAAAATATGACTTTATACCTTACTTGAAAAAAATGCTTTTGTATGCTCCTATCTCAAACCGCCTTGTGCATTAAAATGGATATGTATATTTTATAGTAAGAGAAATTCGGTATCTTACATACGCATGACCACGATATACTAATTTAAAGGGACACTCAATTGCTTTTTTTTTAGAAGCTTGATTTTCATGGTTAATTCTGATTTAGTCAATAAAACTGGCCTGTTCTGGATGGCAAGGTGCCCTAGGAAACTCACAGAAATATAAATACACGGGCACAATTTTCTTTTGCGGGGGAGGGGGGGGGGGGGGAGGGGGAAGCATTCTCTGTTTTCGTTACCTCCATAAAATTTTACCAACGAAAGTAGAGAATTGTGTGGAGATGTTTTCTCAGGCGCCTTAGATTTTTAGTCACACGTTCTATTGACTCCATTTGGCGCCATCTATTGACAAACATGAAAGTGTCTTCGATGGCGAAATCTCGCCCGCCACTGTTGTAAACAACAGAGAAACAGCACCGCGGAGTGTTAGAAATCACAACGCGTCATTACATCAACTTCACATTGTTAGTTATTGACTAAAGATACGGCAGCGTAAAGACACGATGAACAAAAATGGCGAGGCCCTGTTGCTACCGTTGCGCATGCGCACGGATAATCTCCCGCGTCACAAGAGTCAATGTTGCCAGACGGCGTGTTGAAAAAGAGTTTGTTTCCGTTCGGCTAGCTAGCAACCGGCAAGCGTGCTTCACCGTCGCACTTGGTTGTTAAGAGCGAAAGCACACAAAAAAAAAGCTAAATGCTGGCAAAAGCTTTCGCAATATGCGTACGGCGGGAAACGCTTTGACATGACGGCATTGATATATCGATTCGATACGCCAAAGCGCCGTTCATTTTGTGAATGATGACTACGCCACCAGCGACTGGCTGCGCACAAAAGATTGGATATGCGGCGCGACCGATTATAGCACTTGCGCCACCGCACTTCGAGTACGACAGCTTCTTTTTTTTTTTTCTCTCTCTCTTTTTTCTTTGCGAAATTGGACGTTCAAGCCGACTTCCCGATTCATAATGCAGACGACAAACATGTCCAAAATGCAAACGTGCACTATGGACATGGCTGAATGAGCTGTGAAAGCCACACACGTCAGTATTGGCTAACACAAGAACTCCTAACGTTAATCAACGTCATAGTCGAGTTCCAAAGATGAAACACTTTGGCTGCAACTTCAGAACCATTCACTTACACGGAAGGAAATGTCTCTCGTTATAAGCGAATTAAGAATACGATTACAACTCAAAGGCGACTATTTGAGCAATCCCTGTGCGACTACAAGCCGGCTGCCTAGAAATAGCCACTGACTTTTGTGTACAGTACAGTTCGCAGGTACATCATGTTCTTCGTCACTTTTTTACGGCATAAAGTTTTATTAATAACTAGGCACAGAAAATCAACTGAAGTGCAAAACGCAGCCTCCGGAAGAAACGCACGCTTAAGTCAGACTACAGTGAACGCTTATAGCACCGTAACATTTCAGGCTATTCGGCGCCTATCTCGTCTTTCCATGGATTCCAGGCGTCTCAATGTGAACGTAAAGCAAGAAGGCCCTTATCTAGGAGCTACGTGCGTTCACAGACACGTAAAACAGGCGCTCTTAAAGCGAGATAGGAGACGGTGCGTACCTTCTGCAGCATCTTGTCCACGATGCCTTCGAGCGATGTCTCCTGAACATCCAGCAGGAGCACGGCTTGAATGAGGAACTGGTCCACGTCCATGGATGCCCTCACTTCGGCGCCGAAGTCCTTCATGGGGAGCCGCTGCGCAGGCCACAACGCCGTCAGTCGACGTACTCGCAGAAGAGCGTCGCCGTCGTCGCCGTGTGTCTGTACCTCATCCCGTATTGGCAGACGACGGCGGCGCAACAGTGTCGCCATCGAGCTAGAACACTACTGCGTCGATACGAATCGGATTCTGGAGTGGACGAGAGGCTTCCGGGCCTCCAGCGACCGACCGTCCAGAGGCCGCGACCCCGAAGTCGGAGCCAGCCCCGCTCTCTGGCGAGCTCGACAGGGCACACAACCGCAATGTCCGTCGCGGGGTGGCAGGGGGGGAGGGAGAGGGGGGGGGTTGCCCTACATCGGACCCCCACTCCAGAAACCCCAACCCCGAGAAACCCCCCGGCGAAACAGCTCGAACTCAGCCCGAAGGGGAAGACGTGCCTTACCTCGAACTTGGCAAACATGAGGGACACCTCGTCGCCGTCATCTGCAACAAGGACGGTGTGGTCCGGGGGGTCAGAAGAACGACGGACGAGAATACAGGGCCCGCGGGCGATTCCTCACCGTAAGCGATTCGCCACTCGTCGTTCTGGTAGACCCACTGGAAGTGTCGGACGGGGTTTCTCTTGGCCGTTTCGCCGCTCACGTACTGGCGCAGCGAGCCCCTGAAGGAGCCTCGGACTCGGCGGACGCTCATGGTGGCTTCCCGTCCCCCAGTCAGCGGCATCCCTGCTGCGCTCGCGGGACTATAACCCCCCTAGATCGATAGGCGGCGCCACGCCGGCGCAGAACACTGCCCAGAGTTCCCGCAGCCGCGACGGAAGCGGCGCAGCGCCGACCGCGCAGTACCACGTGCATCAACGCGATGCACGCTCGCGCGCCTCCTTCGGCAAGACCACAAGGTCCAGGACAGGAGACGTGGCGTCCCCGGCCGCGGGAGGACACCGTACGTCGTTCCCACGAGCGGCCGAACGTCGACCCGAGTTTTTCCGAGGTTTGGAACCACGAGGAACCGAGGTTTTTCGAAGTAGGTCTCCGCGCACGAGCGCATGGCGCCGGCGCTGCAAGACGAGTGAAGAGCGTGCTCCGTGGGTCGATGCGGAAACATCGATCGCGCTTGCCGTGCGGCGTTCGCCTCTCGAGTCTCGCGGCGCTGAGGGGTTCGGACCCCGGGTCTGCACGCACGGCGCGGAGTGTGTGCACGTGTGTGTGCGCGTAACGCGAGGCAGGTGGGTCGGCGGCTGCGAGGTTTTCGAGAAGGCCGCGCAAGGTCGCGCGCGACTCCCGGAGAGCGAATGCGCGCGGTACACAACTCAGGTTTCTGCAAAGAGTTTCGGAAACTCCTAAAAAAAGTTGTGGTTGAGGAAAAAAAAGGGAGTTTTTTTTCGGGAATAAAATTTCACGACGTCATCGAAAACTCCCGAGTCAGTGAATTTTAGGACGATTTGAACCACGTCGGAAGCGCTCGCTCGCGAAAACGCGTGAGATAAGGATACCATCCGCGCTTTCGCAACGCCGGCCTTACGCTTGATACACGGGTGGGAACTGTAGCGCAACCCAGCGCTTCCAATCGTCCTAAAATTGACTGACTTAGGGGTTTTCCATGACGCTCAGCAAGTTCCTAATTGGAGCCATATGTTTACTTTCGCTAATTAAAAAGTGTATGAATAAATTTTAGATAATTATTTTGATTATTAGTATGTATTTTGCAATGTCATAGCACACGTCCGCCGTACATAATTAAAAGATTGTTCCCCAAAGCTTTTTTTTTTTTTTTAGATTAATGGGGTGTTTGAAAGCCTTCGCATACCACCCGGTATGCGGCATTGTTTTGCGAGAGTAAATTCTTTCGCTAAATCTGTATGGCGGTGAGGCCGTTTGGCTCAAAGTTAAATCTGAAGGTGTTTGTTTACGTGCCATACCAACGACGGGCATCTGACACGCCCCAGCGGAGGACCGGAGATTCACTTCGACCTCTCGGGATCTTTTGACGTGACCGTGAGCTCGGTTACTTGGCCGGGATTCGAACCCGCCACCTGGGGCTTGGGGGAAGCGCCGTTAGATGGCAGGCCAATAGTGCATCATGATTAGACGCGGCGTCGCATACCTTAATGGTATCGGCTACTTGCCTTTCTGCGATGCTTTGGCTCTCTTGAACCAGAGTAAGCACTTTTATAATACGCGCGAATGACAAGCGTTAGTAATCTTGGTACCGCGTGACATTAATCGTTCACAGCAAAAGCTCGGTGCACCATTAGTATCTTATATTTTGCCGTCTTGACGTTCAACCTTATCGTGAGCGTCGGTTTGTAGTTGAGGACACCCAGATAGAGATTTGCACATTGAAAAACATCGGGAGCATATACTTTCAGAACGAAACATACCACCTAGAGTCTCCTATTGAACAGGTTCTAAGTGTTTCAATATGACATCGTTAAATACCAGATACAGCGCGGCAGGCACGTAGCCAGGATTTTGTTTCGGGGGGGGGGGGGGGGGGGGGGGGGGGGGGCGCCCATGACAAAATGCTGTATGAGGGAAAGGGGGTAAAGGAGGGTCCCAGTAAAATGGAAGATTTCGGGGGAGGCCCGGGCCCCATGGTCCTCCCCCCTGGCTACGTGCCTGCAGCGCGGTTCGTTTGAATTTTGCTTTTTCTTCGTGTGTGTAGTGAGTGACCGTTTGCAATAGTGCGCTGTAGTGTGTGTTAATATGAGCAGCCAACTCGCCCAAGCTGCTACGTTAAATACCAGACCAACAAGTAGAAAAATGCGAAGAAATTGTAACCCCTCTTTAACGGGGTCCAAACATCCAGGTTTCTTTATCTCTAAGCAAGCAAGAAATGCTTCCCTTATGTTCTACACGGAGCGAAGACTATAAAGCCAGCTAAGGTTTTCGTAAGTCACGCAACACTGATAAGGCGTCACTGCTCCTTTACGAACGTTTCAGATTCACCGTTAGTTGGGCCTCGATAGACACACGGCGCCGTCTACGGGAGATAAGGACGTCACAAAAGAAGCTGCGTCGATCAGCGAACAAGCGTTTTTCTTTTTTTCGACGATCTTGCGCGGAGCTTACCAACACACCTCCTAGATAAGAAGTGCTTTCCTGCGTGACTAAAAAAAGGCTACCGTAGGTCAAAAATTGGACGGGACATGGGCCTCAGCGTTCGACTAGGAATCGTATTTTCACTGATTGGACGCGACCCCCACCCGAATGCTGACGTCATAGTCGTGTCACGTCTCTGGCCTCCTTGTTTAGTGACGCAGGAAACCCTTAGGCTCTCTTATCTAGGAGGTGTGTTGGTAAGCTTACGCATCTAGTATCCAATAGCTGGTTCCCACAACTCTGATAACGACATCCGATACTCCGCCCACACCTCTGCGTGTGCATCGTGTCGATGAAGACAGCGTTATTAGGCAGGCGAGCGGGTTCTTAATCAACATACTAAAACCCGAGACAGAAAAAACAGCGCCAACACAACGTCTCAATCGTATCGTTACCGGTATCAGAACGACCTGCTAAAACGAATAGAGAAAACGCCTGCCTTCTGCACGCACCAGATACCTCATAGCATCAAAATGGGGCCATTGAAAACGCTGAATGTTGGGAAGTTGGACACCACAGAGCGCTCTGTGGTGTCTGTTCTTCCTATGTCCCTGTCTTCAAGCGCAACTCCAAAACGCCCTCCTCTATGGTAGGGGTCGGCAACCTCCTGGCACTCCGCCAGGAATACCCCTTCCCAAACACAAACAAGTCAAATGAGACGTTTTAGTCTTTATACAGCGTAAAGTCGGTGTGCCAGGATGGGGCGACACTGGTTTACACTGTAGATGAGCAACTTTGCCAGTGCAGTACGACTGCTCACCTGAGGTCTTTAACGTGCTCACGCGCGCACTTCACACACTTCAGAACAAGAAGTACCTTGATGGATGAAGAGCGTGTTGGTGCGGGTCAGAATTGTAGGGAAAAGAAAACATTCAGCCTTTTCACTTTGGTGAAGAAGGAATACCAAAGAAGCTGTACCATGCTGAGGCGACTTCAAGAACGACTTCTTGAACGCTTTAAGGACGACGCCTAGAGGACGACGCTTAGGACGACCTCAGGGGCGACGTCTAGGACGACCTCAAAAGCGACTTCTAGGACGACGCCTAGAGAAATTCAGCCTTTACACTCTGGTGAAGACCAGAGTGGGAAGGCTGGAAAGGTTGCCGCCGTCGCTCATAGATGGCGGTAGCTGTCCAGAGTTTTGTGTCCACGGAGCGAAACCGAAGAAACTAGAGGACAGGAAGGACGAAGAAGTGACTGTGAGCAAAAGCGACATTTCAGCCCTCTTCATTTTACTGGAAAAACAAAGGACCAGGCATTATCTCGGGTGGAAGGGAAGACGACGGCCCGTGCTGGGCTAGGACAACAACCAAGCCAGCGAAAAGCAATCGCGGACTCTGCTGCCGCGGGCGAATGAAATGGACGACGGCACTCAAAAATGCAAGCCGACACAGCTTCCTCAGGGCTTCGACCCAGAGAGCTACAGAACATCGGAAGGACTATATGACTGGACCGCGATTATAAACGAAATTGCCGCTAGAATTGTCGTTAATGCAGCAAAGGTGGAAGAAGAAAACACAATGCTGCGAGAGCGACTCGAGAGGCTCGAAGGACAGGAGAAAACGCGGAAGGCGATCAAGGGAAAAAGGCTAAGACCAAATACTCCAGAGCGGGAGGAATATTCCTCGGCGGATGAGGATATAGCCGATGAACGCGAAGAAACGCCAGGCAAGAACAAGGAAACAGTCACTACTAAAGAGAGCGAAGAAACATGCAAGGAAGACGACAGGAACCCGAACCCCTGGATCGATGTCGTCCACAGAAAAAAGAAGAGCAACGCGGGGATCTACAAGATCAAAATCCGCAACGAAAAGCCACGGGAGCCGATGAACGTCGGCCCCGAGACGATAGAACGCACTCTACTCAAAGTTGGCATTCCGCATGAAAACGGAATTAGGATCAGGCATGATAAGAGAAGTGAAGCTTTTGTAATTACTACCAAGAATGAAGGCGAATTCGACAAACTCAAACAAATTGGGAGTTTTACGAAGAATGATGGCTCAATGTCGGAGTCAAGGTTATCTCTGGTCTACCCACCAACCACATCAGAGGAGTGATTTAGGCATGGAGCGACGAAATCAGCCCTGAAAACTTACGAAATGCAAAATGTGCAACACATAAGATCGTATCTGCCAACTTTATTGGGAAAAGAAACAAGACGGCAATGTTTACCTTCGAGGGCAAGGACCTACCGGAAAAAGTATATATTGGCCAGGTCATAAGGCCAGTGGTACCCTACACACCCAGACCCGTTGTCTGCTTCCGGTGTCACAAGATCGGGCACAAAGCTGAGGAGTGCAAAAGCAAAAACGAAGCATGCAGGAACTGCGGCAAAACGCACACCGCAGATGTCGGGAACAACTGCAGCGCCAACCCGACTTGTGCAAATTGTGGTGGGGAACATCTGGCCTTCAGCTACCAATGCCCCAAAAGGGCGCCGATAAAGGCCGATGTCGCACCTCGAACAAAAGGACAGGTAGTCGACAAGACAGCGCTAAAAGTGCCGATCTACACACCGGTAAAGGGGCAAGCACCGACGAGTGCATCAACAACGATTCAGATGCGGGAGATGGCACAAGAGACAACGGAGAA